GGGGGGTGGTTACCAAACAAAGCTCATGTGTCAGAACCCCACCCTGCGGCCGTCCAGCCTGCTTTTATTTTGTACTTTTCGCTTCAAATTTTTAATCTGATTATGGATGAAGCCGCTCATGTGGAGAAGCTGCGGTTTAATTAGTTTGCTAAATGCGCTGTCAGGCAGCCGGGTCAGGAATGAATCGGTTAGTTACAGGTATAAACGGGCGGGTCGTTAGCCGGCTCCCTGGCCATGCCGAGAGCATTCTGCATTTAAAGCTACCGTTTCATGTATATTCAGCAGCCGGCATCCAGTGCAGCTGCTCGCAGATGTGCGAATCCCACTGCCTCAGAAGTAAACATTAGCGTGAAAATAACAGGCTGTTTGAGCACTGTTTGTTTCTGATGCCACTTGATAATGTTGTGCAGAGCTGTGTAATGCTGGAAACATAGGTGTAATTTTACAGAAAATGTACAGGTGTGTACGGTTTTTATTTTTCATTTTTTGCCCCCCCCCCCCCCCCAGTATTGCAGTTGCTGGTGGAGCCATTGAAAATTAAGCTTTGGACTGGTGGTTGTACAGTGGGGGCAGCGCACGTTAAATCCTGGGTCACGTTAATCTGACCCTGGCTCACGGTAATCTCACCCATCTTGAGTTGAGAAGCCTGATTGCTCCGATCGCTGCTTGTAACCAGCGGTAACAGTCAGTTCCCATCTCACAGCATTTGCACTCTGTCAGAGAGCAGTAGTCAGATTTGACGTGGTCTCCTCCACATCACGGCCATCCCGTCTGAAATCCCGTCTGCTTTCAGGGTGGCCAAAGGTGGCGCCAGAGAGCTACATGCTGATGCTTCCATTAGCAACTGGCAATGTGCAGTCCTACACTGACAGCCTGTTTATTAGCCGCTGCTAATAAGCCAGCCAATATAAGCAAGCCATCCTTGGTGGAATGACGCAAGGGTGTTACCCGATGAAAGTCAGGGATGCTGGTTAAATTGGTTTGTGGTGCAGAAGAGCGGAACCTCAAGCAGGTGGGATGGACTGGAGCAAGTGCTCACTTTTTGTGAACGAACAGTCGCTTTGTCTCCGTAACTTTAATGTTAGTGCTCGGCCGCTAGCGTTAGCGCTTACTCGCCGCTTCCGCCGGAGTGGACTGGTACGAGCGGCTCGCTAGGCCTATAAATACCGTGGACTTTTGCGCTTTCCAAACAACACGTAGATGGCGCGCGAGGCGTCACCATATGTGTGCAGCGCCTGAGCGGCGGTGTGGGGAACCCGGCCATATGCTGGGAGCGCTTACCATCTCATGCTTGTTTACTTTATATGTTCTTTATTACACATATTAGAAAATCTCAGCTCATTTTCACCATTCTGCTGATATGTAGGAAATATTTACTTGCTGTTTTTTCAAGTGTTTTTTTGCGGCAGAAAAACTAATTTAATTGAGATCAAATCCCCCCCCCTCCCCATTTTTTCTTGCTGTGAGAATAACACCTAAAGTGACAGATCTGAAGCGATTTGTTGGGGATTTGCTGTCCCAACGCAGAGCGCGAGTCAGCCTCACTTTTTCAAGACGGCAGTCGCATGGCCTGCTTTTTCTTTTTCTTTTTCTTTTTCTTTTTCTTCGGAATGGTAGTGGCCATGCTGTGAATTTCTGTCACTTGATGCGCTTTTGAGTATCCTTGTTATGTTAAAAGCATAAGGTCAGTACTAGCCAATGAGAGAGGTGAATACTCCCATGATGTTACAATCGTTGGCATATTACATGCACTACCATTGGCCGGGGGAATCTGGGAGGTGCCTGTGGCGGTGACCCCTTTTTCTGTGATCTCGTTGCTGCCGCGGTAATCTGGGCGGATTAGATCAATCCAAATGTTCTTCTGCAGAAAAGGGAGGCCTGCACGCAGATGTGGGAGGCTCATGCAGGGTGGGGGAATGTCCAGGAAGCTCCACGCACCAGATGAGGCGGGGAGGGGATCCTGTCTCATGGGCCCAGAAGCACCAGGTTAAGGGCTTTGCTGTTTCAAGATTTAAGATTCCTTATTTGTCACACACACAGATATACAACTAATTAAGTTAAGGATAAATATGAAAGGGCTAAGACTTAAGGCAGTGACAATGTATAGAAAAAATATACCCAAATAAGCATTACATGAAATGGGATTACGGTGAATAACGAGTATGTTGGGGGGGGGGGTGTAGCTAACGAGACGACAGTCATAACTCAGGGCTTTCATTTCTGTCCTGTGTACATTCACGAGTCTGACACCCATTCATTGTGGTGAAAATGCTCTAAATCAACTTTGAGTATTATTAGAAATGACAACGTACTTTAAATGTAATAGATAGATACTGAAATCTAAGTGCGCTGTGATTTATATTACCGTTGTTGACTGCTTGGTGCTGCTCATGCGGCCTGAGCTGTGGTGTGCACAGGGCAGCCCGCCTTCACCCCAGATTGCCGGTCCTCAGCGGTAATGAACCTGTTTCTGTTTTCCACAGCCTGGCAGATGGCAGGTAATGGCTGCTTATTTGACACTATATTTTAATTGCTTTTACTACTATTCAGTGCTGCTTAGATGGAAGGATGCCAGTTTGATTCGAAGGTCACGCTGGGGCTTTTTGGCAGAATGAAAGAGGGGGTTTATTCTGGGGCTTCAGCGTGACGCCGGACTTCGATGTAAGTTGGCGTGACGGTTATGAATATTTCATGTGGCTGGCTGATGAGTCATTCCGATGATTGGGGCAACACCCACTCCTGCACTTGGCGAGGGCGCCCGGCGCACGCTCTCATTCTCGTTTCTCATAATGATTATTCTCGTCCGTGCCTTTGTCGGAGAGGGGGGGGCGGCCTGGATTACATGGGACGCTCTCCTCCTGGCTCTACGGGCTGAGAGTCAGCCAGGTTGGCCGGCGTGGCACGATGCCCCTTCAATCCTCTTTCCCCTGACCCGGGCACCCCACCCCCAGCACCGTGGGCCCCCACTCAACACCGTCGCCCGCCTAATCCCACGGTACCAGCAAGCCGCCGGGCCCCTTACTGGGAGCACTGGTCACAGTGCTCAGTGCCCAGGTTCGAGAGCTGCCGACACGTGGAGCGCCGTGGTGCGTGAGACGTTGGAGAGTGCGTATGGTGCCGCTTTTAAATCGCTCCACGACGATGGCGGTGATTCATTGTATTTAAGTGATATCGATTAAATTTAATCCAGCTTTAGATTAAAGAGGAATTTGCCAACAGGCAGGAATTTATGCCGGCTCAACTCACGCCCATTTTACAAGTCAGAAAAGATTGTGATGGCCTGATAAGGCTGAGTTAGTCGCTGGTGATAAAAGCGGTTTTAATATTTGGGAAGAACGGTGACATTTATGCTATCGTGGCACGGGGTGCAGTGTGTCCTCTCTGTATACAGCAGGAACTGGAGATATTTGTAGTAAGTTTTCATTAATTAATATCAATTATATAAAAAAAACGTGGTAACAGCCATGTTTTTAGCAATTGTTAAACACATTCAAAACAAATAATAATGCATTCATATACCATTATAAACATGGCTATAAATATTAAAAGACATTACACATTATAGTCATGTTTATTATGCATTATGAATACCTTATGAAGCTCTCATAATGCACTATAGATACCTTTATAATGGTATGTATAAGCACTAAGGATGCTCTGTACTGCAGTTTAAAGGTATCTATAGTGCATTATAGATGAGAGCTTCATAAAACAGTCATGAGGCTTAAACATGTCGTTAATTACTTAAGCCTTTTTATAAATACTTCTAGCCATGTTTTAATGCTTTATGAATGCATTATAATACATTATGAATGTGTTTATAAATGACTAAAAGCATGGCCTTAAGTAAAGTATTACCAAAAATGTTTTTATTGTCATAAAATTTTATGTTCAGTGCATTAGGAATTTTCTAGCTGTATCCTGTAGGTCACAAAAGGTGCCAGTTCATTTGTCCTCGATGCCAGTAAAACAAATGATGCCAGTGATTTTTGTTGTTATTTCTGCTGCTTCTCCAGGTGCTTTTTTTTTTTTGTATTGAGCTGCCATATTTTTTTCAAGCCCGTCAGGAGTTTTGTCGGAGGACGGCCTGGCGACTGGATGTGCTAATGGCATGAGATAATTTTCCTGAGAAATCTCGCCTTCGTAAACAAGTGAAGCGGAGTAGGAAATGGCCTCTGTTGCGTTCCGTGCGACTTTCGAGCAGGAAGCGGAGGGGAGCAACGCTGCCGTGGATGTCAGGGCTGAGTCTGCCCATGGAGGAGTGGCTGTGGGCGGGATCCAGATGCTGTGGGCGGGGCTAGAGGCGGGACCTGGATACTGTGGGACGGACTGTGGCTGACCATAGCCGTAGCAGTACCCTTCACAGACTTTATAACTCTTCACAGCCTTTTGCTGTCACAGGTGGAATTGCTGTGCATTTTCTTCAGTTATTCTTAGTAGAAGAATGAAATGGAGTTCCAGTGCCCGACCCTGTTCCCCTCAGTCAGGTTTGCCTCATCTAAGCTTGTTTGGCGTCTTTGCCATACATTGGCTGGCTCTCTGGCGCCCCCCGTGTCTCAGAGCAGCACATCCCTTCTCAGATGGGTGGGGCCGCAGTAGGAAGTGCACTTACAAGGACACTAAATGGGCTTTGCTGAGCGCTGCTGGTTTGCTTGTGTCTTTTTTTATTTTTCCATTGCAGCATAAAATTTTCTGCCTAATGGGATAATTTGACCGTTACGTCATGCGACTCGTGCTTGCTCACTCATGCGC